GACCGTGTCCATTAGCACTCAAAAAAAAAAAAGAATTTGTGATACCGCGTCCAGATAGATTGAGTTTTATCTGGAATGGTAATATAGTAGCTATCATGCCCCAAATGTCTATAGATTCGCAAAAATGGTATTCCGTAAAAAAGCAAGAAATTCTGATAAATCAGGTGACACTCTGAGCTTTACAGTCTCCAAGAAGCTTTTATTACCCTTCTGTTTTCGACCTGATATACATTCTAGCTTTTTTGCTCGCTACAGCCAATTTATGGCTGGTAGCAAATGTGTTTACCTCATTTATCAGAAATGACTGTGGGGATCAAAAAGTTAACAGTAAATGTTATCAGCTCATTTCAACCTTATTCTTAACTAGTCTATAATAACTTCAGTACGGTTCTTAATCCATTAGAGTATTCATAATTCTGTCTCTGGTCAAAAGTTTTACATAAAAGGCAATTTTTTGATTAGTTAAGTACCTCTTAAAAAATGTGGAATCTCAGCCAATCCAAGAGCTGAACTTCTTAAGCATGTCTGGGTGAATGTGATTATATGCGAGTCATTTTCAACGCAATGTTCTAACCATCTACCGTATACCTACAGTAACCTCGAAAATGGCGCTGAAGGCGTTATCGCGTGAAATTGACATGGTATTTGGGATCAGTGCCTACCAGTTTAGCTTTCTGCACGAAATTTAGCAAAAGTGGTGATTTTAACGTTTTGGGTTCCGGTAAGAAAGAGTGTTTGTATTTATTTATTTATTTAATTCTTATCATTTGTTTATTTTGCGCTCGAGATGCGCCATTGGAGCAACAAATAGACGATTACAAATAATTTGCTTTCTTTCCAAAATTATAGATTTGAACAAGCTTGAAACTTCTAAAAAGAATTTGTCATATTTGCGACCCTCAGAGATTTGAATTTTGACTCCTACCGCCTGTCAGTCTAAGTTAAGACAGCACCACTCAAAGGTTAATCTTCGACACTTTGCAGTAAAACGCAACAAAGGGGTTCATTTTATTCCCTGATTTTCTCTCATTTCTTTTCATGCCCTATCGCAAATAATGCCTCCCTTGATAGCGAGTGATGTTCTTCCGATAAGCCGACTTCGATTTTTCGTGATAAAAGCTTTTCTTTGCTACCCCATACTGACGGGATTACATCATATTCAGCCATTGTTTTCTCGACAGTTAGCACGACATGTCCTTGTTGAATGTATCCTTTATCTCTCAGTGATAATTGCAACATATTGTGTAATATAAAATATATCCTAAAACATCCAAAACCAGCTTTCTTAGCCCCCTGTTTTAGGCAGTGCGCTTTTGTGCCGATTATTTGGTGAAATCCCCGTCAAGTCGGATAATCACATTCGTCGCCAAAGTAAGTTCTAGGTCATCTTATGTTCCACTTCATCAACCTCTCTTTCATGACACCATTTGTTTCAAACTCATCTCTCTCTTTGATGAAACATCGCGCTTGTCTCGTTTTCGAGAAAAAAGTGAAAGGTGATAGAAACTAGACAAGCTACCGTATTTTGAGATAGATTGCGCTGTGATAAAGTAATTTGACTTGTCAAATTTTTTTCTAGGATTCAAGCAGCAGAGATGATATCTTCATTTGGAAGGAATCCGAAGTATGTAGCTTTTTAATAGATATTCTAAAGTTTCCCAAAAACATTCCTAAGTGGACCTTTTGCTTTGCCATAGTGAGTCAAATAAAAAACTGCTGTAAATAAACTGATGTAGATCAAACATATAATGCGCTCAATAATTCTGAAGATTCAAACAAACGAAGTATTGATGAGCTGAATTGAATTAAAATGGCAAGGACTGCTAATACAGTTCGCAAAAGTGCAAAATAAGTGCAAGAATGAAGTTCGTAAAGTGTTTAGTCATAACTCCTGGATTCCCAATCTCCTTACCCATTTTCATTCCCTGACGTTTTCCCAACTACCCTCCGGATCTTATCATCCCTCTATGATAGAAAAAAATGCCGCTTTCAGTAATATGGAGATACGTGACAGCCTCTGTGACTTGGGACGTATGGAAATCCCACGACCCCAATTTCAGGGTATGCAGTTTGTAGCGACACGAGGAAAATTTGGCTTTTATAAGGTTGGCTTCGTATCTTTGGTAATTTGGAGAAGATTAATTGTATTTTCAGACAATACGTGAAAACGGTGGCAAATACGGAATTCAGGTGAAACCTCAGGGACCACGCAGACCCGCTTTGAGTAACGAAGTGTACATAAAGTATGTTGATTAGGAGAGCTTGAAAATTACTTGCATTAAAAGAAAAAGGATTCAAACAAGAAGTTGGAAGCAAAATGAACCCGTTAATCAGAGAATAAAAGGATGTTTATAATATCATTTTTTAGGAAATCTCTACTTTGGTAGAGCCATCTAATACTGGAAATGCGAAGTGTTTTTACCGTCTTTGATTAACGGGAAAAAGAATCTCGAAAGTTGATCTTCCAAAAAACGCAAATAGAACCCTCTACGAGCTTTATATTAATTTTTTT